TAAAAAAACAATTCAACTGAATTAGGATAAATAGATTTAGCCATAAAATTTGACATAGACTGACAATGATTCTGACTGCTAAAAAGTTCATGCCACAAAATAGAGAACAGCGGGAATGAATGAAAAAACAATAAGAGCAGTTCCGCTATTCCGAAAAAAAATGGAGCTTGCCTCTATCAATTATAAGTCAAGACAGAAATAGAAGGAAATTTTTTTTTAAAAGTGATAGAGCAGGGGCAAATGCTAAAATAAACAGTTGACTGAAACTGCTAAATCTAGTTGCAAGCATCTTAATTAGACGAAACAAAATTTTGCAATGAATTTATATTATGGCAAGTTAATTAGCTTAGGAAGTTTAGAGATAGGTTATTATCTTCTTGTAGAGTTGATAAATTAAGGGATCATACAAAAAAACCATCAAGTCACATAGCCATACTCTTGGAAATAAAAGTTGCTGCATTTTTTTCCCAATATCAGTCAAACCGGGAATCTAATAGCATTGAGAAAATCACATCGGTGCAAATCAAAGATATTGAACCTTAGAATTACCACATTATGAAACCTAGATTAAACAATTGCACCTAGATCCTAAGTATATACCAATGCATATTTGCTTAGATTCATCCTTAAATACAATTCAGCAAGTAAATTCGGTCTCTTAGATACCATTTTTTTTTATAACATTTCTCACAAAAACTAGATTGGGTAAGCGAATTCAACATAATTAAAATGAACTCATCCACAACAAAAGAAATGATTATTACATGGCTCATTGACATGTCATGTTCATGCAAAGAAAGAGCATAACAAATGCCGCCTTGCTATCTATCCAAATTTACAACAATTCTAAAACCATGGGCAGCATCCAAATAACTATGCAGCTTAATATCAACGAACCGAAATGGGTTTAACTGGGAATGAAAAATTAATAGTACCTGATGCTTGGTCAGACGCCTTCTGATGGCCCTGGTCTTCTTTGGGCGCAAATCCAGAGGAAGAAACTTCTTGTTCTTGTAGACTTCCCTTAGAGCCGCTTTTTGCTTCTGGGAAATCACTGTCAACACCTGTGCTATTGAAAGCCTCACCACCTTGCTGAAACCACAAACACAAAATTGTAAAAAGAATTCATAAATCAACATATAAAAATTATATATATATATATATATATATATATATATATATATATATAGAGAGAGAGAGAG